ATCTTAGGGGGCGGGGGCCCACCTCAAAGCGCAGGCCGAAGCCAGAGTGACTTAAGCGGAGCTGAAAGGCACGGAACGGTGATTGGCAAAGGTGCAGCCTTCCAAGACAAAGACTTGGCAAAATAGAAGCAGCCTCTCAGATCTCTTAGACTTGGTGCCATCGTGATCAGCTGATTAAGCCAAGCCTGACTAATGCGATGAGCCAAGTCTTCCGAAGATACTTCACGGTTGCACTCGGCTCTCATTGTGGACTAGCCTGCTTTCGTCTTCACGGCATAGCTGACCGCCTGCCCCAAAACTCTTTTCGGACTTGTGCAGAAGTGTATTTCGGAGATTTTGGGATCTGAGAGGGCCAGCCGGTCCTTCGGTGACCTAGCGTTAGTCTGTCTTGCGACGCTTATCCGAATTCGATACATGCTCCATGTTACCAATCCGTCAATTCTGTGCCTTCGTGGAAAGCCACGCGCTTCTTGCAGGAAAACCTGCAGTTGCATCGTCCTGACTTGCAATACCCTCTCCCCTGGCGTTTCATTCTTACATACAGATGCAGTCTGACATCCTTTCAGCTTCTGAACGCGAACGGATGCCGAAAAGTCCCCGCGCACGGAAGTCGGAAGTGCCAATACTGTTTTGGGGGGGTCCCGTATTATAAGTATATAGTACAATGGGCACAAAAACCTTATTCTCATTATTAATGGTGTCTCTTGCTTTTTGTTCATCCTTTGCCGGCGAAGCGAGGCTTCAAGGAGAGGGGGGGCTGCGCGAGGCGTCCAGGAGCGGATCGCTGACACTTCGGCTTCCAACAGAATAGGGCTTGGGGGCCCATTTTTCTATAGTTACAATAAGGAACCCTAACAATAATATAGGTAATTATTTAGGCTTCAAGAGGCAGAGGCCAAGGCCAGGAGGCGGCAAAAAGGCCTCGGCGACGTTGCCACGGCCCAGGTGGGTGGGCAGCACAGCAAGCAGCAAGATCTCTGCTGTGCCCGAGTGCCTTGGTGCTCTTGGAGTCACCTGCCGCCGATCAGGCTTTGTCTGCATCACTGCGACTTCGAACGCAGAAAGAAAGTTGGGTGTGGCGAAGATCCAAGCAGCTGGAGCTGCAAGTTAGCTGCTTGCGCTGGCCCTGAGCCCCGATCGGATCCTACACTGAGCTGGGAAGCTCAAAGCCCAGCAGGATGCACTCTGGGGAAGCTCGGAGTCTCGGAGGCAGGCGTCAGAAGCCCAGGGCATCGTTGAAGTTCAGAAAGAGGAGTCGCACACATTCTTGATAGACTTCAAACTCGGTGCTCGTGCGACACGACTCCATCACAACACCCTTTCAACGATGCCAATGTCTTCTGAGTCAGTGTGGCAAGGCAGGCTGCATTCATGCGAGGACCATCTGCAATCGCCGCTACGCCGAGGGCACTTGCATTCCAGTTGCGGCGGCACTGATCCGGGATGCGGATGTGGTGCACGGCCTAATCAGAACATGCAAATCTTTACCATGAACAGCAGGTGGGCCAAGCAACGCGTCGTGCAAGCGCATCTACATCTCTGGGACAGCCGTGCTGATTCTATAACTACTGCAGTCAGAAGCACTCTCAAGTCCTCCCAGGTTTCGCACTTAGACTAGAGACATGCGCTGCTGCCCTGCGAGTTGTGCTTGCATGGGAGGGAAATCTGAGAAGGAGTCGTAAAGAGTCACCGGACAAGCGGCACCTTCTTACGTGTGTCTCCTGTGCACACCGAACAAGAACACAAAAGGGTAGAGTCTTCAGCGGGTGCCGCAGGGCCTGGTTGATGCATCAAAAGCTCTGTCTCAAAGGAGCCGCTGATTTTATGTTCGGATTCGGCCGGCCGCTCGTGGACTCTCCAGTCTGTCGGCATCTTGGCATCCAAGCCGTGCCATCTGCAATTGCACTACGGCAGAGGGTGATGCCAATGGGAGCCTCCCATCACCCCAGCTTTGCGGAATCGCGGAATGCACTGAGAAGCTGGAACCCTGAATTTCTGAGCTCAGATAAGCCTAGCCGGGCCGAGCCGCCTTTTGGCCTAGGCGGGCCGAGCCGGGCCTAGTCCGTAAGTCTTCTGCCTGGCGGTGCTTCTGCCTGGATATGCAAGTTGGCGCCGGACTCAACTTCAAGTGGGCTCTCAGATCAGCTCACGGAGTGTCCGCATCCAGCCTCTCCCACTCTGCAGCATAGCATCCTCTCTTCGGCCTACTGAGGGCCAGGGCCACTCCGCTTCTTGAGAGCAGGCTGGAAGGCACGAGAAAACAGGAGCAGGAGCAGGCGCGTGCGGCCCGTGTAACGGCCATGGCATCCTTCACTCCTTCACTCTTCTCCCCCCGGGAGCAAGGGGCAAGTGACTGCAAGTGACTGCAAGGCCGGGCATAGCTCGAGGCCGGAGCCATGGTGAAGGGAACGCAAGGCGAAAGGCAGCGATTCGTTAACCGCTTTGGGTTTCCGCGCTCGTTCCGCTGGGCTCCAAGAGGCGCTGGAAGCACCAAAGCAAAGGAGCTCGCCAGGGCTTTTGCCCTGTGCCCCGCCGTGTCCCCGAAACCAAAAGAAGAACAGCCCCGGCCCCAACACCCCGAAGCCCGAAGCCTCCTGCATAGCAAGGAGGCCCTGCAGTTTCTGACCGCGATAGAACAAGAAGGACAAGTAAAGCCATCATCTGCACTGCATCGGTACGAGTCGCTGGAAAGCGTCTACGATCAGAGCTACATCGCATCGCAGCTCCTCGTGGTCTCAGCCGCTGAGTCTGTTGGCTATAAGCTCCACGAGCTCCGACCCCCGGAGCTAAGCTCGACATCCACGTCTGGGGCTTTGTGAAAGTCTTCTAAAGAAAGCATGCCATCGATTTTGCTTGCCTTCAAAACGCCTGCGGGGGCGTGACCTGTTCTGGAAGCCTGGCTCGTCACGGGACAGCCTAATGCCAGCACCTTGAATACCAGCAGGGGAAGCGGGGCGGAGCCTAACAGAGCTACACGACGACGGCTTCTTGCCGGCAGGTGATGGCTGCGCAGGCTGATCGAGCCCGGCTCGTTTGGTGCTTTATCTCGTAAGTCCTGTCATCTCCTCGCCACTCTAAAGCCACGAAGATAGGGCCTCGAAAGCATTTTCAGCATCGGAGGTACACTGATGTGCCCCTCACTATGTGGAGCGACGTTGCTTCAAGCTACAGCTTTCCGGAAACCGAAGGAAAATCTTGCAGTTTCCAGGGGCATGGCAGGGGCAGCAGAGCCGCAAAGCCTCGGCTGTGCTCGGCTGAGGCTAAGAGATGTCTTTTTTCTTGTGAGGTCCTCGAGCAGGCTTATGAGGATCTTTTGAAAATACGAGAGCTCGCCGAGCTGGCACCCGCGTTCCAGTTCAATCGCAGCTGGAACTTCGCCACGGCCACAGGCCAGCTCAGCTCATGTTCAGCTCGGGGCCTCATGCAGACGCTCTGCCCAAGGAGGCTCTGTCTTCGAAACCGTTGGGACAAATGTCCCGGTCCCGACGGGCCGGTCCCTCGGAGCTCACGGCGGCTCAGCGGCCGCTTACGAAAAGACGTGGGCGCTCGATGCTCCGCCGCTCCGCCTCCGGAAATCTCTGGAAGCGCTGAGCGAAAGCGAAAGCGGGGCCCGCCGCCGGAATTCTTGGAGACATCCCCATCGGATGCCTAGGCAAGGGCCTTCCGAACTTAGCCTGGCCACGCTACCCGACACCTACTCTTAACTTAGCTAGACGTAGCTACTCGGCTACCCGAAATCTAGATCGGCTCAAAACGGCAGAGAGTGGCACTCGGCACCCAGCTGCAAGCTCAGAGCAACCTCTGCCTACACCAGTTCAGTAGCTTTGTGCTGGCGCGACAACGGCGGCTTGGGGCTACAGCGCGCGATTGGCCCGAGCTCAAACAACAGCAAATTGCCTTACAGCTGGAACTTTATCGCGACCGCGAACTTACACTTCGGGAAAGACTTTATCTGCAGGATGTGGAGCTTAAGGCTGGTAAGTCAAGCCTCCACTAAACCATTCTTCAAAGGGCCCTTGCAGGCTCCATCTGAGCCTACACCCGGCGGGCAAGTTCTATGAGAGCAGGCCGCGCATGCTCAGAGGGGTCTCAAGCAGTCTCTGCCCGGAGAAACGGAAGCCGGAGGGCCTCGATTACCTTAGGAGCTCTCGTTCAAAGGCCTGCAGTAGCACCTCCGGTTCTCTGAGCAGGTAAAGTGTACGGGAATGAGATGCCTACCCAAGAAAGGCCTAAAATTGAAGCATAGGCACTGGAGATGCACCTGGTGAGAAATTCGGTGCCTCTGTCACTGAAGCCTGGCACTTAGAAGCTGCAGCGCCAGTCCAGTCAAGACAATCAGGGACTTGAGAAACAGCCCAAAGAGCCACCTGCATTTGCCCAAACGCGGTAACAAATCCTCACAAACTAAACAAAGGAGAAAGCTGCTAAACTTCGGCCACGTGACTGGAGGATTCCCAGTGCTCCCAAGCCATCCCTGCCAGGGCACGGAGTCACTGAAAATATCTGAGCTCTGCAACAAATTCGCCCCACCGCCCGCCTTCGGTGCAGCAGCTGCCCAGCGGCTAGGCGACGGCGAGAACGGCCCTAAAAAAACGACACACGACCTCTGCACTGTTTACAGTTTCCTACAAGGCGTCTTGCAGCTCCATGCTTTCGGCTTCTGCTGAATTGAGACTTTGCAGCCGATGGTTGGCGACATCAAGCGGGCAGAACATGAACCTGAAACATCCGGGGGACGATGGACAACAACATGCGCAGCAGCTTTTTGCGGACGCCCCAGTGTCGCCAATCAGGAGCTTAAGCCTCCGGTGACAGGCAGTCAGACGCGAAGATAGCCGAAGAAGGATAAAGAAATTCGTGGTCTTACAAATAGTCATGCTCTTTCTGCTGTAAGAGGACAAGGGCGGCTTCTCAGGGCGGAGGATGTAGAACTGACGGAGACGAGGTAACGAATTGATTGGCAGAGGAGATTCAGTTTTAAAGGCAACGAAGCCAAAGCCTCAACCCAGCACCTTCCTTCTCGTCCTAGTCCCTTCCGAATTTTGAGAAGGACTCTTTCCCGGAGTCTGCGGAAGCCAGGGCCGGGACTTGTAGGCTTCCTGTAAGCTTGCAGGAGCAAGCCTTGGCAGGGACTCGGCCCCAGAAAACAGGACTGGCGCAATCGCCCGCTTGCATCCCCAAAGCTGCGATCAGGAAGTCGATCGGCGACCAGGGCCGAAAAGGGCATCAGGGCAGTGTTCGTGAGGGATTGGTCGTGAAGGATTCACCCACTAATCAGTCTAACGACCCCCCTTGAGAGTTGTCTCAAGACTTTCAATGCCCAAAAGACTTCCAAAATGATATATAAGTGTTTTACAAGCTACCTGCTTTAAAGCAGGTTTTAGTTGATGTAGGCTTCTCTGTCGTTCTACGTATCTCTCTGTCTCTACATGCGTCCCGTGTCTTTCCTCCGAACCCTTCGAGCCTTCGGAGGGTTTCCTGAAGATCCACCGGCACCGGCACCTGCAAAGGCGAGAGCAAAAGAGTGGGAGCTCTGGCTCTCTTTGCATCTGCTGTGGAGAGAGCCTGGAGGTCGACTTTTCCGGAGCTGATTCGAAGCTGCAGCCTCCAGGCCTCAGACTTTGAAGCAAGACCAGGGGCTCTCGGAGGCATCGCAGCTCAGAGCCGGGCGTGAAGCCAGTGCCTGAGGGTTTAGGTGAAGGTGAGGGTTACCTTTAAGTGTCCTTCTCAGCACCTACTCAGCCCAGAACTAGGGCTCCTTAGAGGGATCTTTGAAGGGATCTCGAGATGCGCTTACACTCTCACATCTCGGTCATGCCAGGCGAGGGTTCGGGCGATCTTCGGTCGGCGTGAAGCAATTTGAAGTCTGCCGGACCAGTACTATCTCGGAGACCCACCAAAATGACAATGACCTTACCAAAGGTACTGGTACTAGTCCGGTCAGGGCAAGTCTACCAATAGGTTCACCGGCAAGTTCACTGACTAGGTAAGGCGGCACTGTCTACTGTCAGGTTGAGTGGCCTCAAAGAAGCTTTTTTTCCGCTACTCCAAGGCTCCTCCGATCTTCTGCGGCCGGCTACGCATGATATGTGCTGCAGTTTTTCGCCGTTGCACGAAGACCAAGCAGACACCCATGGTTACAAACGCGGCGATCAGGGCCAGAATCTTCTCTCCACGGGATTCTCTGGCAACGTCAACTTTCCCTGATTTTTTTGGCTTGCCTTTGGCATCCACCTCGGTGGTGGAGTAGCGAAGAAAGCTGGCAATGGGCTCTACATAGCTGAAAAGCACCCGATGCCCACCTGTGGGCTGGGTGTGGAACAGTTGCACTCGCATGTGGAGACTTGGAGAGGTTGGCACTGGAACCACAGCATCGTCTTCCGCCCAGAACACGGCGACGGGGAGGGAGGCGGGCCAGGACGAGGGCTCCACGTGTGCAGGAGCGACGAGGACTAGCTTCTGAACCTTCAGTGCATCGCTGCCGGCCAGGGATGAGGCCATGCCACCTCCCCAAGACTTGCCCAGCAGCACGGCAATCTCTTCTCGGCCACTCGATCGGAGCAAATCTTGCAGCAGGCCCTCCAAATCCTTCTCAGAAAGCTTTCCGGGCCTCGTCCGTTGATTCGCATGCAAATGGGGCAGGAGTACGTGGTAGCCTTCCTTGGCCAAGCCTGCAGCGACCGGGTCAAACTCGTGGATCAAACTTGGATTTGCACCCGGAAGTGCAATGGCCAGTGGGTGTGAAGCAGCGCCGAACTCGAAGACCTCCACCATTCCCAAACGAGTCTTCCAGCTGCCGTCCGCGTCCGCGGGGGCTTCTTGCGTCTCCGCGACAAAAGGCCCTTGAGCCCTCTTGTCCTCGCAGAAGTCAAAGATCTCCTCAGCATACTGCGCCGAGAACTCATGCTGTGCCCAAGCGACATTCATCAATTCGGCAAGGCAGGATTCATCTGGCTTGAAGGAGTCGAGGCTGTTGGCCAGCGCTTCCAGGGCTGCAGGCACCCACTCTCGACCCCTGGCATCCGACAACAGAAAGCCCTTGGCATCAACGACGGAGCGATCCCGCAAGGCTGTCAACAGCTTAGCCGCATCCGCCTCCCCTAGGCAGCTCTGGAGGAAGGAAGGCGTAATCGGACGCGGTTCGACACGAAGCTCTTTCACAGGAACTCCCCGAGAAGTGAGGTCAGCGATATTCTCCGCCACAAAGGATGCAGTGCGCTCGTCCCTTGGCATGTGAACGAACAGAGTCGGAACACCGTCGTTGATGCTGCTGTCAATGCCCATGATCTCCGGGACGATGCACTGCAACTTCCCGAGTCCAACCGATGCATCCGCACCAGGCAGCAAGCCCACAAACCCCCCACCCGAGGAAGCGCCAAGTGCCAGCAAGGGAAGATCCTCTGAAAGCTTCTCGACATTCCTGATGTGACGCACGGCAGCTCCCACCTTGGCGACGTCTCTCTGGCCGTACCAGCAGCTGCGCACGCCGCTTCCACCAGAGACTGCCATGACTACATAGCCCCTGTTGAGGGCATAGCGGCGCAAGATCCCCTCCTCCGGCAGACCAAGGCATCGGCCATAGTTGGAGGTCGCGCAGCTTTCAAACTTCCAACCATCTTCTGCCACCTCGTCGAACACATCAGTTGCCTGGTGTTGGCAACCATGGGCGATGAAGAAGATGCCTTTCGGTTCCGTGGTAGGGCGCTGCCAAAGAGTCTCGACCTTCCCTTCCACGCGGGCGTACTTCGGTCGCAAATCCACGCTCTCGTCGGCTGAGCACTGCGAAGCGCTCGCTAGGGCAAACAGGGCAAACAGCCTCAGCATTCTGCAGCTGCAGCTGGGCGACTCCGAGAACTTATAAAGACTATAAAGTATATGATTACAACTACACCTTCAGCCTTTTGGGATTCAGGGTTGCGCGGGGTGTTGTAAGCGAGATGCGTTTGGGCTCCCGGGATTGCTCAGAGCCAAGTAGCTTAACGGAAAAAGCTCTGCTGCTGTTCACCAATATTCTCCCATGCGCCAAACCTTAAAGCGCCTTCACCGACACACGGCAATTCTCCCGAACCCACTGCTCAAACCTGAGACCACCCGAAATCCGGAAACCATCGGAACCCAAAGCCCCAAACTCGAGCCATGAAAAGCTGAAAAATGCCACAAGCCTTAAACTGCCCCCACAGCCCGAAACGGCACAGTTCTGCAGCCCGGAGCTGACCTCGAAGACCAGCCCGGCGTTGGGCCGCCGTAGACTGGATCACCCAGGAGGGGGTGCCCCTTGCAGAGAAACACTAACAAGCAGCCTCTCTTGGCGCTACGAAGACTTTTGCCCTCACATTGCAATCTGCTTGGCTAAAAGGGCTAGGGTTCAGGGGTTTCGGGCTTACGTGCCGCGGTGTTTCGAGTAATCGGGAAGGGTTTAGATGGCTTACCTTGGAAGCCCAGCTACCCAAATGTTAGGCTGCTGTACTCTGTGACTTGAAGTTTGCAAGGACAATGAATCACCATACAGATAGCAAATAGCTGGACTTCGAGGGCTATCTTCTTTGCTGTGCCGGCCTCGTGGCTCAGGTGGCAGCGTATTTGATGCGTTCGTCCTCACAGCTCCCGGGTTTCTGAAGTGCAGCTGCAACCACTTAGGCTTCGGAAACTTTCCATACCCTCCGAATCTAGTTCCTTTGTCAGGTTTGGTGCTTACAGGGTCATCTTGTCAAAGGTTTGGCTCACCAGCGAAAAGGAAATAAACGTTGGAGAGTATCGGCTTATCGGCTTGTCTTGCTTCTTGGCGTGGGCTGCGTCCTGTGTGAAGGCGCACCTGGCAGTTGCTCATCGCATGCGGGCGTTGTTTGCGGTGGAAGACTTCTCGCCTTCATGAGCGTGTAAGGCTCCCTGTCCGGACCACTGAGAAGAACTGCCTCCGAAACCTCCAGCTGTAGCTGGGCCGTGGTACGCTCCGCAGCGGAAGAAAATGTGGCTCTCACCTCTGTGTGGGCCCATTTCCCGGAGATGGGGTTCACCCGGCTTCTGGCCAGCCGCAGCCTCGAAGCACTGTGCAAGGACCTTGGACGCCCAGTGTTCCTAGGCCAAAGCTCAGGTAGTCGCTCCCCATCAATCGCAATCTCCTCTTTCAAAGGAGCCTGTCGTCTTTGGACATGAGGACGCACTACGGGGTGTCTGGGTGTGTTCAGCGTGGCCTTCAAGTGAAGAGGCCCGGAGCTCAGCTGAAGCCAGCCTGCATCATCATACTCATTGCATACTGCCATACGTCATCGGCTTTAAAAAACAGCAAAAAAAGAGCTTCAGGCCTCGGCCGATACAAAGGTACTCCTTGCAAACCTGCCGCAACCAGGCTGCGAGGCGGGAGCCTCTACGGACTCGATGAAATCTCAGACCGGCCCTGCCTGGCGAGCTGCAAACCTCAAAGAAGAAAAGAAGGAAGCGCGCCGTCGGCGCGGAAAAACCCGAACCGCTTTTAAAGTACCCGCATAGTAGTAGCATGCAACGAATACATGGTTGAAAAAGCATCAGTAGTAAGCAGCTTAGCAGCTTCTTTGCTTTGGCTGTGATCGGTGAATTCCTCCATTTTTGGGCCCTGGCTGAAGCCTCGCCTCAAAGAGGCCACGGTAGCCTCAGAATGCCCCGGTTGTTTCAGAACTTCGCGATGAATTCTGAAGCCTTGTTTGTGCAACCCAAGCAGCACGGAGCCCAAAGCAATGGGCCAGACGTAAAACCTGAGACGGGCACATATGCAGAGGTGCCTCAAGTACCAGGCCACCAATTCTGAACATGAGTCGAAGCTGCGGTCCAGCCGATGCACGAGTCCATATGTCTCGCCTGCACGGCTTCTGAAAGTTCAGTGGGCCGGGGATGTTTTCGTTGGCGCTTCCGTCAACAAGCAATCTACTTCTAACAGCCTTGACACGACTCCGAATCGTGCTGCAATCGTGATGTTGTGATGACGGCTTGCTCGAGCCTTCGTCATAGACGATTGGCGAGGACCTCTGCGGATTGCTTTTGTTGCATCTGCCCAGTCCTCTCGTCACACGCACGAGCTGGGTCCCCAGACTTGCCGAAGTGGCGCTGGAGCCAACGTCTCAGTGCGAAGTCTTTGTCTGACTCCGACCTAAAGCTGGCCGCGAGCCACTGCACAGCACAGCCACAGCCCGGCAGGGCGTTTGCTTCGGATCTTCCAGCGCCGCCGACCAGCCCGGAGGCTTCCACAGCACCTCTGTCTCAGGACGGTGCCCGGGAGATGGGGGGGGGGCCCTGTACTCTGAGGCAGCGGCGCAAAGGCCTGGAAGGCTCTCCAAGACTCTGGGCCTCGCCAGCGCGGGGGAGCGCGCCGCAGGATGTGTCACGCGAGGCGAAAAGCGGCTTAAAGCGTGACGCGGCTGGGGCTTCAGCTCCGTCACAGAATCGAGAGCCAGCCTTTCCCAAAAGGGCCGCAACTCTCTGTCACCCCGAACTTGAGTATACTGGGCACACTCCAGCAGAACTTCCGTGGATTTACTGAATTGCCAAGAAATGGGTGACAAGCCTTATAAAGTCCTAAAGAAGAAGTTCATTATCGTTGGTCTGCCGGGGTGCTGGCTATTCAAAGTCTCAAATCCCCGACTACCTGAACAGCAGAGAGCGCGGCTCTGCCGTCGTCACGCGAAGCTCCTCCAGCACAGGCTGCTCCTTGTGCAACAGCAGAGGGTACCACTGCCCCCACGTGTGAATTGGGCACGCAGTTGAAGTACCTCTGCGCTGGAATGTGCTTAGGAGGACACGCGCTTCACACATATGTAAACATGCTTACCACCACATGCGCAAAGCCGTTGTATTTGAGAGCCTTTCATGTGGAAATCCGGTCCTGGTAGCTTTGGTCCAAGCGTTGCGCTCGGTCGCAGAGAGCCGCCGACGCAGCGGACACAAGAGACTCCTCTAGCTGGGTGGACGTAGAAGTAGCTGTCGTCTCCCGAATGCTAGCTGCTAGCTGGCAGACAGAGGCCTTGAGATCCAGCCTTCCCAGTGCCTCCACGACGGAGAGGACATTCACCTGTGAGAAAGTGCTACCCTTTCTGTCTGAGAGGAGAGGTGCCCTCTTGGGTGCCCAGGGCCCCCACCACGGCAGTCTTTTGGTCCTCCGGCCTCAGAGCCAAGAAAGAGCGGTGTTTTAGTTTTGCTCCGACGGGCGGGTCGCTGAGCTCCGAGCCGCTGAGCAGCAGCACACCAAACTCCAAACCTGCCGTTTTGGAGGCGCCCGAGATTTCGTCGGCTTTCTTCCCCCTTCGCCCCCTCTTGCTCTGTCTCCCCGCTTCTGCCTCTGCTCAGCAACTTCCTTGGCCGCAGCGGCCTGGAGAGTCAGACCCCCCGTCGCTGAAATCTGCGGCAAGTCTCAGGGCTTAATATAGGGGCCTTAACAATCAGAATAGGGTGTTGGGGCCCCTTCTACTATAATTATAATCATCAACCCCAACATTATGTTGGTATTTTTTGTCACTCGTCTGACTTTAGGCCCCAAATTATTCGCCCTCAAATCGCAACTTCCTCTGTCTGGGGCTCACGGCCGACGCCTGGCTGCGAGGCTCGACCTGGGCAAAACATGCGAAGGGGGGCAAGCATACATACATATATGACTTATTCCATATTATATAATCTATCTGCCTCTATATTTGTATATAGACACATGCACACAGAGATCGGTCCAAGGGCCTTGGGGCCTTACCATGTAGAATACGGTTTTCGGCCACATTATGTGCTATCAACAGTATAAGAAGTGAATGCGGAGGGTTCGAACTTCCAACCCCCGACCTTGCTTTGCAAGAATACAGACAGCTGTAAGCCATCTGTAAGCTACCTGAAGCTTCCGCTGCGGTCGATCGAGGTCGAAGCCGTCGCGGGTGCTCGGGCTGCGTTGGCCAAGTCCACGGGCAAAAGCTGGAACCTCACAGCAAAGCTGAGCGAATCGCGAAAGCCGTGGGCGCCGCGGCACAAGGCCGAGGTCTTTGGGGCGTGGCAAGCGCGGGTAGGCGGCATCTCCGACCTCAGCTCTTGGAGCTCTTGGAGCCGAGAGTCGGGGGCCGGGAGCCGGGGGCGGCGCCGCCTGGAAGAAGGGCTCCCCCTCCGCAACTTTCGCGGTGGCGAAGGCCCAGATTGCCTAGGACAGACCAGTCGACTGAGAGCTCCTGAGCTGTCAGCAGCTGCCAGCACAGCGGCCCGAGGACCAGGCGTTACAGAGCTCCTGCGAAGAGAAAGAAGTCGCCTTGAGGCTGACCTCTTTCTTTGGAATCTAGCAGAGAATCCATGGGCCAAAGAAGGTCTCCGGCCACGGCGGACGCAGCATGCATTGGCGACACGCCCCGGGACTCCGACCTGAAGAAAGTCTCCTGAAAGCTCTGAGCTCCAAAGATCGAGAAGAGCCTGCTGGGCCCTTGGCACACCCGAGGACCAGGAAATGTTGGCCAGACCCTGGGATTCGAAGCCTCAGCAACCCCACTCGGGATCTACAAGGAGGCGGAGTCAGAGCAGACCGCAGACGGCCCAACACTTTTCATCTTCTCAAGCCATTCAGCGCTTTTCTAAGCCTTGTCCTCTAATGCTGCCGCTCCAGATGGCGTGCTCGGATGTCCTGGCTTCAGCACATCATGGCTCTGCAGGTGGGTTCGATACTGAAGGCAGGAGAAAAAACCAGTGAAGCAAACAGAGACTTGCAGAGCTGCAGAGGAGCGCTTCTTTTGCTCTGGAGCTGCGCTGCTCGGCTATTTCTCCTTGGCCTTAGGGACCAACATGCAAAAGCATGCGTGCATTCTCCATTCTCTCCAAGCAAACAAAAGACCAGGAGCGCTCTTTGTTTAGGGCCAAGGGGCTGCGGAGGAGGAGGAGGAGGAGAGGGCGAGGGGAGGCAGCTGGCCGCTTTGGAGGTCGGGGCTTTGACCGTAAATGACGTAGGCCACCAGGAGAACGGGGATCGCAATGAGGGCTGCTGCTTGGGGACTCGATTCCGGTGATTGGAAGATGCTGGACCCAACCATGAGCTCTCCGTACTTGGTGCCATAGGCAAAGCTGAGAGTCAGGAAGACCACTTCGGCCAACAAGAGCGGCCCAGAGGTCAGCTCGCCGGCTTCAGTCTGCGACACCTTGGCGATGTCAAAGCCGGCGGTGCTCTCCGTTGCCGTTTCCTCGCTTTTGTCGAAGAGCCGACGAGGATCCAGCTCGGCCAAGGTCCAGCCATTGGAGACGGCGATGCGATAGGTCGCCAGGGCCAAGGTGGCATTGCCGATGAAGGTGAAGAGAGCTTGCCCCGTAAGGATCCAGGGGATCTGGTTGTAAAAGATATGGAAGGTCAGCGCGCAAACGCTCGAGATCGAGGAGGGGAGCATCCCCCAGGTCAAACCCTTCCACTTCGGGTTCCCCACTGCGTCGGCATAGCGCCAGGCCAATGACATAGCAAGAAGGAACTCGAAGACGGTCGACCAATGCACGATCCAATTTGGAATGGACAAAGCGTTCACAGGCTCTGCAGAGCCCATGTCCAAAGCACCAGCGCCCGACAAGAAAGGTGTGTGAGCCTCGAAGCCAAAGACTGGGATGCCGGCAGCCAGTGTGAGAATCACGGCCGCCAGCCATCCAAAAGCGATGTTTCGCGCTGTGGCGTTGTCTGCGAGATCCTTGTTTCCTGTAAGGGCGCCGCGGAAGCCCAAAACGATCATGATGTTGGTACAGGTCAGGAGCGACTCTGCACTACCATGGACCCAATCCGAATCGGCCAAAATCAGCCCATAGGTGCTCTTGGAGATGATGCCCGCTGGGATTGTCAAAAAAACGAAGACAAGCAAGAAGGCGAAACCAAAAAAGGTCAAGGGCGGCGTGTTGTTCCCTTTGTAGCTCAAGAAGTAGAGGAAGAGAAGGTATGCAGGCAGTGAGCCCTGGAACAAGACCCCGTTGATGTTGCCAGCTTGGTCGGCAAAGGAGGTCAATACAGAAGAATCCAACAGACCTCAAAGCGACAGAAGAGCACAAAAGAACTGCCAACTAGAAGTCAGCATCTCTGCCGGCACTACGCGGGCCTTGAACCGCAAGCCCATCAATTCCATCTGGCGCTACCTGCCGCGAGGTTCTCAAGTCCAAGCGCAGTCCCGGCGCAGAGCTGGCTAGCCGTGTCCTTGGGAAGCACATCCAAACAGAGAATCCACAGAGAACTGCAGCCGTCAACTACCCCGGCGAAAAGATCAACGCGCCAAAGCTTCTGGCTTCTCGAGCCCGCAAAAAGAGAGGAGCTCCCAAAGCTGGCGAAGCCGAGGGTGACGTTGAGGGCCAGGCCGGCGAAGAGCGCCAGGGCACCTGGGAATGTTCAAGCCTGCAAACCTAGAGGCTTTTGTTGGTCTTTATCGCCCCCAGCTCCCAGCTCTTGAAGGCCGAAAGGCAACTCCGCAGAAGATTCGCTTGCGATCGCCTCAAGCCGGGAGCCGACATCGCAGCGCTGCAGAGCTGCGCCTGTGCTGCGTCTCCGTGGACCGAAAAACAGCCGCGGGCCGGCGGGTGAGACTCGGACTCTGCGGGCGAGGGAGCCTTTGCGAAAGTGCAGGTGCAGAAAGATTTGGGGCTTCTTTTTCGCTTCAGGACGTGACGACCGCATGCCGCTCAGCATGGCCTGTACACGGCCGTTCCGGAAGGCTGAGCCAGGCGCAGGCTTCCGCTTCGGCCCAGGTCGACGGCCGTCAGAGTGACACCAGGAAGCCGACCCGTCGGGTTCTATGGGGGATTTTGTTAGAAGGATTTAGGGAACTTGGCTGGGTGATGCCGGGTGAGGCTCGTGCTCACGCCGTAGTGAATCGCAACCAGGTCGAGCCGCCAGCACGCTCCACGGCTTCGAAAGAACCGCTCCTTCGCCAGGATCTATTGAAAATCCTATTGCACGTACATGAAGAAGCAGATCAAAAACTAACACACACACACACACACTCACTCTCTTGCTTGCTTGCTTGAAGGGGCCTGGGTGCATGCACCCCGGCCCGAGGGCCAACCCCCACACGGCTCGCAACTGTCCAACACACTCTCTCTCTCTCTCTCTCTCTCTCTCTCTCTCTCTCTCTCTCTCTCTACACATATTCGACCTGGTGAAAGACCAGCTAATTCCTCCCTTCCATGCAGCTTGCTCCCTTCGAATGTCTTAGCCGAAAAAGCAAAGCAGTGTTCCTTTGGAAGTGGCACTACTCTACCTACAGGCACCATTCCTGCAAAATCCAAACATCCAACATTTTCGTGGAAATGCCAGAACCGAATTTGGAGCTTTGGATTTTGGGATATTTTGGATTCTCATGGAAATCAAAAGATCCAAAATTGGTTCTGGCATCTCCGCCAAAATATTGGATTTTGGGATTGCAGTCAAATGATATGTAAAAATGAAGCAGTAAACACAGTCTACTCACGAAACAGCTAAGTCAAACGAGTCACATGTTTGCTAAACTTCGCATTAAACATACGCAGTGACATAGCCCATCCTTGAACACCATGTATTAGGCAGTGACGATGCAAGTAGCATCGCATCTGACTGATATGCCAATATTGATGAAATGTTTGAACGGCTGTTTTAGTGCAAAATTGCAGAATACGAACACCACATAGGCAATCAAAGAGGACGTGGTAGTTGAACAAGTACTTGCACACAATTGAGCTATTTGACAGCAATGAGGGGGGGTGCATATATAGCTGTACATATAATATATGCACACGATAGAAGCATATGACATACTGGCCAGGCCTTGCTGACAGCCTTGGCTCGTTCTTCGTCTGCCTTCCCATCGGAAACAAGATCTGCGACGCATCCAATCCCCAAGCCATGATTTATCTTGAGGGTTCCTTATTGCCGGAAGCCCACAACCCTCTTGTGCTTGCAAGATCCTGATGACCCGAAACCGTAAAGCATTCAAACCCCAAGCCGGGCTCACCAAAGCGGCACGCCTGAGAATCTCGGCTCGTTCTGGGGAGACCAGACCCACCGTCTTGGCCAAGCTCAGCGTTTGGCTGTCCAGAGCACCTTCAAAGACTTCGACTCTTCATGCTAAGGGCTCAGGACTTCACAGCGGCCCTGAACCCCGCGACCATGACAACATTACGGACAGCCTTTGACAGATGACAACATGACTCACGGTAGAGCTAACCTCACGTGGCCCGTGCGAGGGGAACATGTATGAAATTAACTGATAGTAAGGAAGGGCTTAGGGTTGAGCATACGAACCAACACAAGCAAGCATTTGACAAACTCCTGAATTTCCGCAACGGTGATTCTGCGTCCTGTTCTCACTAGTCACTAGCCTTGTGGCGCACTGGTTTAAGTGGCTTCTCAGCCTTCATCTGTCAGCCGCTTGACGCCCTGCAGCCAAAGGTCCGCTTGCGCCTGGTGCAACGATCAACACTTTCAAACAGGAAGCGGACATGTCTAGCAAGAGCATTCAAGTAGGACAGAGCCACCCAGACTTCTTTAAACTTGCCTGCATGTATCCAGGGACCAGGAGATGGTTTCTTGAGACACTGTGATCGGCTTTTTTCGAGCCTTCTGGAGCTTCTCATTCAGGCTGTGGCACTCGTGGATCTCCTTCATCTTATGCCGAATCGCCTCGGAATGGATTTCTCTGCCTCACAGGTCGCCAGAGGCCCTCCCTGTCAGCTTAAGTGCGAACACGAACGACGTAGCTGCGCATGCATGTACATTGTACATGCATGTACCCTCCTGCTGTGACACTTGCCTGAAACACTTGCACCGTCCAGACGCACGGCCTCCAGGCAGTGCTTCTGGGAAGGTGGACCTCAAAGCCCTTCTTCCCCCAAGGGCTTTCAAGCTCTCTTTCCAGCAGTGGACGAAGATCCGGCACCTGATCAGTTGCGGCACCCTACAGTGGACACCCTCACTACGAAGTGATCAAGGGAAGCTCGGCTTTCTCCCAGCCTTCCGTTAAGACCCTTGGAGCTCTCGAGCTCGAGCTCGATGGGCAAGGGCTCCGCCTCACGAAGCTTTGCAGACGAATGCCACGTCACAGTGTCCGTCAGTGTCCAGGTCTAGGCTTCGGGGGTTCCAGGGCTTGGCGTGAAACTCCGAAAAGACCGAGCTTGTGCTGTGCTCTCAGGCTGCTCTCTTAGCAGCAAGCCGCGGTTCCGAAAGCTTTCCTACACTCCAAGCCAAGAGCTAAAGCCAAGAACCCGGGCCCTGCCCGGACTCGGTCCGGCCTCGGTCGGATTGCAATTCTTCGCGCTGCTGACGAGCTGCTCGTAGCAAACAGCCAGGGGCAAATCGCAAGAAGCAACCTCCGACTTCAACAGAAACTACAAGCCCGCCCGCCGCCCGCCCACCCAACATATATGCTACATGCAGACAGAAGTAGTGACATCCCTGCGCCTAGCAGATGAATAGTGGACCCCGACAGCGGTTTTTCCCTCATGGAAGCAACCCCACCCGAGGCTAAGGCGCAGTCCAAGCCGCAGTCCA